GTTGGCATTAACCCGAGGCTCATGGGGTAAGATATCCTTTGTGACCTAGCAGGAATTATTACCAAGGCCAGACCAGGCCAGAAAGTTCACACGGCTAATGAAGACAGGGTCACAAGATTGAGGCCCCCCTAGAGACTAGTTATCTATGGGCCGAGAAAAATCTGCTTCACGGCCTTATTGCAATGCCCTGACGCTAGGCAACCATCTTACAAATCCATGTTTACTCAGAATAGGAAACTCCAATGTGCATGCTTTGGCTCGAATGCCTCATCCAAGCATAAACAGCTTCGTTGGATGTCATAATCATTGTGAAGGAATGACAGTAGCTAGTGTTTGTCCAGAGCTTCCTCTGTGCTGAAATCTTTGCAGGGAATTTCTTGGCATAATCTCCACATGTGGGTATAACCATCTACTTTACCAATGAGAACGCTGGAGCTTCAAGTTAATAAGATGCTGTCACGCCCATTCGCCCGTCTGTGCCATGAAGGCACTGTCACTCCGTGAGGTGGAGCTGATGCCCCTTCTTTTACAGATGAGAAACCTGAGTGTGGAGACTGACTGTCCAATCCAAGCTCTCCCAGTTAGGCAGTGAGAGATCCTGACCCCAGGCCCAGCCTTTCTAAAAAACCAGTTTCGTTTTCTACCATGTGCTCGCAACTGGCATGTTCATTTTATTGGCTCTATGGATAAAGGGTGATGACTTCCAAACCACAGAAAGCATGGCATTTGAGATAGCACAACCTGACCTCCTGAGAGCTGACCTCAGATAAACCCACAGGCTTGAAGGCTTAAAGGGGAGGTGACAGGATGAAGAAGGAACAGATCTTAGGCCAAGAGGGATATCACTACAATTCCTAGCTTCATCGTTGACTAAGTGTGGCTGGGTGGGTTCCTACATAGCCCTGGGTTTAGTGAATCAGCATTCTCAATTTTAAATGCATCTTCCAGCCTGGTCACCATAGCAACCACGTGAACTGGACCGTGGTAGTCCTATTTTATGGACACATAAACTGAAAGGCAAAGACTAAGTAAGTAGTTTAGTTTGAATCCCCAGGCCGTGGCTCCAACACAAGGTTCTGTGTCCTGAAGAAGAAGGATCACTGAGGACAAGGGTGACTGAGAAGCAGACACTCTAGCTCCATGCCAGCTACTGGATACCTGGGCAAAAGATGGCCCAAGGCAGAGCTGAAGTTGAATTCCTCCAGACCTTCTAGAGTTTCTTTTAGACTCTCCTGCACAACGGCAGGACCTGGGAGCCTGGCATGGGGAGCGAGGGGTAACATGAATGAAGCTGAGAAAATCCAGCTGGCAGTGCAGAGCTAACCAGGGTTGGAAGTCAGGCAGGGCCCTGACCTCTGCAGACTGAGGCTGACGAGCTCCTGTCAGGGACCTCACGGTGAGGATTCCTGCATCTGGCAGAGAGCTGCGCCACCTACAGAGATGACCTTTGGCGCACCTCCATCTCTGTAGTCCCATTGTATCACGCTCTCACGCTCCTCTGTGCCCTCCAGGATCATCGTGAGGCATCTATGGGCTGAGCAGTGACATCCTAGGACAGCTTATGTGATAATTCTTTAGTTCCAAGTATGGAGACAGCATGATTCTCTGGAATCTGAACCTCCCAGAGCTGTCTCTGGGCACAACTTCCCCACAGCAGCGGAGTTTATCCTGAAAGCCAGCATTTCACGGTTGCTAGTCTGTTTTCCGAGGTGGCGTGATAGGCGGCTGGAGGTGGGAACCCCAAGAGCGATGCCAAGTCTCTCGAGGAGCAGGGATGGGACAATTCCGGGCATCAATGGAGCCTTGTAGCCTCAGTGAAAAGAGGGGAACACCCTGCCTCAGGAATGCACCCTGCAGAGTGCTGAAGAGAGCCACTCTGCCATTATGAAACCCTAAACACTCGGGGTGTGGCGCGGCTTTCAAAAGAGGGCTCTGCTCCCACTGAGGAGCCTTGGAAATGTGGAGCACATACCACCCAAGGCTAGCAAAGGCTTAGACAGCTCAGACAGACACGTGAACAAGGAGCCAATGAGCTCGGGGCAGACTGTCTCAAAGAAATAAACATGTGGCAAAGGTATTTCCATAGCCTGTAAATACTGTCTTTCAGGGGGTTCCGAAGGAGACCAAACAGCCTGCCCCCACCATTCCCCGAGAAAAGACTGACACTGTACCTAAGGAGGGGGCAGCCAGGCACCAAAGCCAGATTTCCCAGCCACCCTCTAATTTATAGGCCATAAATGATGGGGCCTGTGATCTATTGCCCCCGAGTAGGAGATTTATTCCAACCAAGAGCACACACAGGGCCCACTGATCTAACGAACGGCCCTGGGTGGGGAAAGGTTCAGTTTTTGCTGAACACTGAGTAAAGATTTTTGGAACAGACGGTCATACTCAGAGGCAATTCCAAACATCACAGAAACCAGCACACGATCCACAGCCCCACCAAGAGCTCTGGGATGCTGGAACCAAGAGAGACGAGGTCTCCGAACCAAAAGAGACAACCTCCATGTCTCCGAACCAAGAGAGACAACCTCCATGTCTCCAAACTTCCCACTTTACATCTCTGTATTGACTTCTCGTTCTGCTTTTGCCTCATCCAAGCCTTCTTTCAAACGGGAGGCACATCCATTCCTTCCCAAGATGCTGCTAGACGGCAGGGGCACAAGGGACAGGGCATCGTTTGTCCTAAGACGGCTGTGCATAGAAGCTGCATAAATCTCTGTTCAGTCACTGGAAAGGAACAGTCTGTGCTCATTAATTCAACATCTACCCGTTCTAACATTGCATTTCGAAGGGAACTTGTCACAGAGAGGACATACCTTGCACCCAGGGGCTGGCAAGGAGAGAATCTAACCATGTTTTATTTCACTATCTATTTCGTTGTCACCTGTATGTGATCAACAATACTGATTTTTTTTACTGTGCTCATAGACATTTTTATTTTTGTTTCAATTTCTACAAAACTAAGAAGTCAGATTGAATAAAAAAAAGTAATTAGAGTACAGGTGCTGTTGTTGTCATTACAAATACAGTCAATTGCACAAATTAATAGGCTCACTGTGCCCCTTCCATATAGACCATAGATCTTAGAAAAACGTGGCAAAAATATTTGTGTTTGGGGCTGGAGAAATGGCTCAGCAGTTAAATGTGGAGGGCCGCAACCACATTCTCTTTAAGGGACAGAGGTAGTTGACCTCTGTGACTTCAGGGTGTGGCAGTACACACCTTTAATCCCAATGCCTGGGAGGCAGAGACAGATCTCTGTGAGTTCAAGGTGATGTAGCACACGCCTTTAATCCCAGCATTGGGGAAGCAGAGACAGTGGGACTATAATGCGCATGTGCTTGGTAACTTTCCACTGCTGCTGTCCCTGCCTACTTCCGAGGCGTCATCTGGGTTGATGGGCAGCGGACCAATCCAAGAGTGACACGTCCGAAGCGAGGACTGTTTCCTATATAAGGGATGGGTTCCCCTCATTCTGGGTCTCCGCTTTGTAAGCTTATGCTCTCTCTCTCAAGACGCATTAAAGCTTTTCTGCAGAAGGATCCTAAGTGTCGTTCTTGCTGGCGAGACGGTAGCGCGGGACAGTTAAGAGCCCTTGCTGCTCCTCCATAAGACTGGGTTTGATTCCTGGCAGCTCATGAGCATCTGTCACACCAGCGGATCTAATGTACGCTTCTTGCCCCCATAGTTCCCCGGGCATGCTTGTGGTCCATAGACATTCACATAGTCAAAACACCCATACACAGAAAAATTTTCAATTTTTAATTATTTAATATTTAAGCTGGCTTGGAAATAATGAAACCTTGAAAATCATCACATTAAACAAAGACATTGATTGGCACCAATTCTAGAGTATATAGGTTCAAGGCAGAGGTTCCCATGAGGTAAATTATATTTTTCCAAAAGTCCAAAAGAATTCTTTCCTGTTCTTCTCTTCGTTTTTTATAGGTCACAGAATACAATCTAATATTCTTTTAATTTTTAATTAGACATGGTTACGGATCAAGACTGTCTATCATGCTCCTCCATGCTCCTAACTTTAAAAATTCATAACTGGAACCCTAATCCATATTACTTTAGAGCATGACTGTAGTAGAAGATAAATAAAACCTTTAAAGGGGTAAGCGAACAAAATTGAAACCAGAAGGTTAGCCTCTGATCCCACATAATTGGTACCTTCCAAAGAGGAAATCTACTGGGCATACTCCAGCATTCAGAGGCAGAGGTAAGAGAATCAAGAGTTCAAAGTCAAGATAAGCTACAAAGAAATATCCTATCTCAAAGAGAAAAGAAACTGGCAAGATGGGTCAATGAGTAAGGACACGTGCCTTCAAGCCTGACAGTGTGAGTCCTTGTAATTCATCAAAGAGAACCCAAGGACCAGCTACAAGTTTTCTGACCTCCAAATGAGCATGTGGGATGTGCACCCCATCCCAAATACATTACACATGAAATATGTATGAAAAAGAACAATGAAATTTGGATCCACAAAGACAGCAGAGACGCTCGAGCACTCACTGAGGAGAGATCACAGAGAAAACTAAGGAGAAGGTGAAATCTGTCCATGCCTTGATCTCAGACTTTGGGCTCTTGCTATGGCAGTGCTGACAGGCTGACACCATCACCACACTGGAGCACGTGCCTCTGTTTCAGGAGAGGATTGTCTAGTACTTGTACCTGGAGATAGGACATGCTGAATTTTAATTAGCTAACCTCGCCTGGGGCTCCCCGGCCTAAAAATCAGTTCCTTAGACACATTTATAGATAATGATATTTTCATACAGGATCATTTTTTGATTTTATAATCAATATAAACACCTCACTATATCTACTTCAATAAATTCTGAGACTGGAAACTTAAAACTTCTCCCTAAGGGGCTGGAGAGATGTCTCAGAGGTTAAAAGCACTGGCTGCTCGTCCAGAGGACCTGAGTTCAGTTCCCAGCAACCACATGGTGACTCACAATAATGAGATCTGGTGCCCTCTTCTGGTGTGCAGGCATACATGCAGGCAGAACATTATATACATAATAAGTAAATAAATCTTTTAAAAAATACTTCTCCCTAAAATCATGACTTAAAATTCAATCAGTTTGTAAAATTTCAATTACACATTCTGCTCATGTATTCATTTTTGGCCGTCACTTATTCTGCACCCTCTGCTTAGAAAATGAATTCATCACAGCGTTATCAAGGTCTTTACTAATTTGTATTTTAAATTATTTACTATTTAATTGTGCAGTTCTCACAAGGAATAAATGCTAGTCTCACAAAGTAGACTGAATCATAGAAATGAAATTGATTCACTTCTAGGAGGTGGTTGTTATAGAAGAGAAAATGTTTATACATACATATATATGTGTAAATATGTATGCAAGCATGTATATCTTCAAAAATGTAGCATTGCATTAACTGACAGTCTCCCAAAGTTTATATCAATTATAGTACAAAGAGGGTGAAGACATCTGGATTGTTGGACGAGGGTCCATGCTTTATTTGAACTGGTAAAATATTAGCGACAAATAGAATTGAACTATCAGGTATGTATATTCTAAAACCTGGGGGAGGACTAAAAATACCAAGTATAATATCCAATAAACCAATAAATAAATTGGTTTGTCACCTCACATGTAAAGTAATAGAATTAATTTATTTTATTAAACATAATCTGAGATTCAAGAGAAACCAAGGTCATTTGAGTTTGAAGAAAAGACTACCAGGAAGGAGAAAGCTAAAAATAGAGTATCTATTTTTAAAAGCTTTTAAAAGCTCTTCCTCAAGTACCAACTAACTAAAATTTTTCTGAAGAATCTACCCAAAGTTGGAGCAGGAATAGCTACAAAAAAAAATCTATTTATAGGAGAGGGGACTCATTCTTCTCTTAGGGTTGGATCTGAGGGCTCATTCTTCTCTTAGGGTTAGATTTTCTGGGCTGACAGCAGAGTATCCACAGGGTCTTTCTGTACCCCAGTCATGGGAACAATGAGTCCTAAACAAAACACTATTATGATTCCACCTAACAAGTATCAAAGGCAACACTCAAAGAACCTGCTTCCAAGAAACTGCACCCAGCCCAGGGCTCCAGAGGGAACTCAGATCACCAAGCATGGTGGCAAATTCCTTTACCCACTGAGTCATCTTGCTGGCCTTGAGATGCTTAAATGTGATAAGCTTTGTCAGCCCAGGTACAAAAACCTCAGTGTGCCAAGTTCAAATACTAACAGAAAACTACCAGTCAAAGATTCCAGTCAATCAGCTATAAATTTCAAAATAAAAGACTATACAAACGCGAGCTAAATAAATCCATCATAAACAGAACCACACCATAAAAAGTTTAAATTCAACCAACAAGAAAGCTTGAAATAGCATTCTATAGATTTTATATAGTTACATAAAATTATTTGGTTTTGTATAAAATAACAGTAGAAGTAAACAAAGGGGAGTAAAGGGAAATGGATGGGGTGAAAAGGAGAGGGTATGGAGCATAGGAGGTGAGACATACCTAAAGTGTATTATATACTTATATAAAAATATCTTTATGAAATTAAGTACCATGTGTAACATACACCATTTGAGAAAATCATTAATAATTTTAAACTTCGTTCCAAAAGAAGTCAAGGAAAGTGGAATAAACAACATAATATTTCAATTAAAAAACAAGCAGCAAGATGACAGACTTAAACATGTCATTCTACCACTCCCATTAAATATAAATGGTCTAAACCTCCCAATTAAAAGGCAGAGGTTTTCAGAATGTAGAAAAGAACAAGATTCAATTGTATACTGCCCATAGGAGATGCACTTTAGACACAGAGACAAATACAAAGATAAAAGTTGTGTAAAGTTATAGCATGTTAACTGTAATACTCCAATAACTGGAGTGGCTTATTAAATCCAAACAAAATACCCTTCAGAACAAAGATTATAAAGATCATTTCACTGAAATAAGATGTAACAGAATGAAACAATCCCAAATGTTTACATTCCAATAATGTATAGAGTCTGAAAATATGTGAAGCAAAAGCTAATTTACACTGGAAGAAAAATTTAAAAATCAGCAATTATAGCTTGCAATTCCAATAACCATGACTTGACAATTGATAGAACAATTTGACAGAGAATTCAGGATGGGTGTAGGAGACCTGAAGAATACTATCAACCAACCTAACCTAATCGGCAATTACAGAAAACACCACTCAAGCATCAGCATAGAATCCACTCTTTCCAAGAAGACGTGGGTGCTGCATTCTGTGCTGTAATATAAGGCAATACACTTTAAAGGATTCAAGTCAGACATTTGAATGTGATAGTAAGCGTGATGAGAGTCAGAACAGAAATTCAAGGGTACCCAATATCAAAACCCTGGCTTCCTGAATGCTGAAATCAGATCCTTCACAAGGCTATGGTGAGAACAAAGTCACCTGTAAGGAATAACCACAATTACCAACAGCCAAGACTGCAAGAAGTATTTACAATGTTCTGATACTAGAACATATCACCTGAATTTCTTTTATATTATTTTATATATATTCTTATTTAGACTATATCTTAAATGCTAACAATTTATTTCCTAACAACTTAATATACCTATCACTCCTATAAATATATCATGTACAAATATATTCATATGAATAATTATGCACACATTGTGAAAACTGATTATATACACATGTGAGCTTTCTTGCCTGTTATGCACATATTCACAAATATTATATACACATGCAAAACATCACCTTAAGCACATCAGTGTAACATCAGTTCACACCCATGCTGATTCATACCTTTCAAAGCAATTGTGTTTGTGTGTGTGTGTATATATATATGATCATATATGTGACCATATATATGATCATATATATGCTCAGTTTCCCCATCCATAGGCCAACTAGTGAACATATAGAGGGAATCATGTGTCTTTTTTTTCAAATCCTAGTCCAGTACATTGTAAAAGCTGGGCTATAGATATGAAGAACATAAAATCAAGGAAGCCCAGTAAGGACTGACATAGAGCCCCGGATCCCAGGGGATTAGGACCACACATGTACACACACATACAAAAGTAGCATTATAAGAAACCTTTTCCATTAATTTCATTGCTCCCTCTAGAATCCCAAACTTGGGTCCTCCCTTTCATCAACCTATGACCCATTTTTCTTACCCACACATTATGTTCCACTTAGTGATGTCATTCACTCCACTGTGCTTTTTTCCTTTTTTTCTTCTCTTCTTGTCTCATACATTACATCCCGATCACAGTTTCCCCTCCTTCAATACTTCCCAGTCCTTTCCCCAACCCCCCCACAACATACCACCTCCCATCTTCCCCAGATCCACTCCTTCTCCATTTGCCTTCAAAAACAAAAAGAGTAGGCTTCCCAGGAATATCAACTGAATGTGGCATAACAAGTTACAATAACACTAGGCACAAACCCTCATATCAAGGCTGGACAAAGCAATCTAGGAGGAGGGAAAGAGTCCCAAAAGCAGGCAAAAGAGTCAGAGACACCCCCACTCCCACTGTTAGGAGTCCTACAAGAACATCCAATTACACAATCGTAACAAATTATGAATCAGACCCATACAGGACCCATGACTGTCTTTTCAGTCGCTGATCCCTATGAGTCCTGCTTAGTTGATTCTGTGGGACATGTTCTTGACCCCTCTGACTCCTTCAATCCTCCCCAGTCCCCCTTCTGCAGGGTTCCCCTGGCTCTGCCTAGAGTTTGGCTGATTCCATGGTGTTTTAATTATTACTTTAGAATGGGAAAGTCTCCTGTATGTTTCAGTCTCAAATCTCCAAGCACAGGTTGGATGCCAGTGCTGGCTTTTGACAGCTCTACAGCCATGGTCCTTTTCTCCCCGCAGCCTTATTCCACATCTTTTCCTTGAGTTCCTCACTTCACATCCTCACATTCATTGTGGCCCATGATGGTAAACAGTGCTGCGCCACCCCTGATGCCTTCACCCACCACACTCTCTTGTAGTTCTGATCAAAACCATGCTAAGTTAAAGCCATTCTGCTGTTCACCTGCATTAAGTGTCCCACTGTATTAACCAGGGCACATCTCGGTGAAGAGACCAAAATTCTGATTCAAAATACCTTTAATTAAGACGATTCATTATCTGAAATAGGCTTCAGGTAAGACTGGATCCAAGGCTTCCATCATAAACGAATAATTCCTTAAACTTACGTTATTCTCAATCATAACCTCCTTAGGCAACGGCCAATGTAGTTTGGGGTTCTATCTTAGCAATTGGCAACTGTTAAGAAGGTGCCTTGTCTGTGGTTCCATGATTCCATTAAACAGTCCATGAATGATGACCACGGTTTCAGGACAACATATAACATGTTTCCCTACTGATCATATTTGGTTGATTGATTCTACCCTTGTTGGGGGGCGGGTTATACGAGCCCCCATCTAAATCACAATGGCTAAAACTGAAGGGTTTCCCTCCCAAACTGAGAGGGGCACCTGGCGAACTAAAAAGAAACAAAATACAGCGGTGTCTCTGTCCTTCATGCTTCTGCTATAGGTATTGGTTCTAATTCCGTGCGGCTGCGTATCCTGTCAGCATCTTTGGTCACTTTCATTCCCTTCTTCTAGAGCCCAGGTGACCACAGGGTTTCCTGCAACAAGACGGGGAAGGGTGCAGAAAGAGACTGAGTTTTCAGGGAATAATCAGTGTGGGTAAGGGAAGAGTTACCTTTTTGTTTTCTTTCCAGGAGTCAGTTGGACACCTTGGCCTGGCATGACGTAAGCAAATCTGTTATATAGAACCCACCCAGTATGGAGAGGTCCAATTAAGTCCAGAACAAAATGTCCTCGGACAATTCTGAGGTTCCCAGGTAGCTGTCAAGATCAGCATTCCACCTAGCAGAGTCTGTCTCCTAATTCCTCAGGACACCTACACGAATTGGTCCCCCTTCCTTTCAGTGGCTTTTCCAGGTGTTTATTCCTGGAGACCTGAAATCCATCTGTTTTATTTGTGACTGTGTTCCCAGTGCCTAGCCTGACAAGTTGTCGCTTTAGGATTGGTATTTATTGACTGTATTAATGGCGGGGCAAGAGGCAGGTGTCAAACATTTTTCATCTCCATAGGCTTTAGACCAGAGTCTGGCGAACTGCACATGCTTAATCGACTTTCATCAGATTAAATTTATGCTAAAAAAAATAATTTAAAAACAGATCTGAGTCATATTTTCTTTGGTCTGGACCCATGGGTGTTTTAAGACCACTGAACTGAGGACTGTTGGTGTCCATGTCCTAAAATGCATAGCTTCTAATCTGAGCCTGTGGAATGTTCTCAAACACTACCTTTCTGTGTTACTCTCAAGTCAACACAAGACTTGCTAAAGCAAGCACCAACGATATCTCACGTCACGGCTATCCTTTCTCGGCTGTGGAGCATGTCATTCTTTGCTCCTGTGGGGAGAGATTCTGGCTTGTGTGCACACATCCGTTCCCACAGTCTAAGCAGATTCTGTTTGTCCCGCAGCCTGCCCACCTTGGTATCCACCCTCAGCGCGGCTAGGTGGGCATCGGAGCTCAGCACCCAGCAGGTTGTCTGCTGCTTGGGAAACCCCAGGAATGTTAATGCTATTGAGCCACTCTGCTCAAACACTCCCAGTGTGCAGGGAGCACAGCTCTGGTAGCCAGGCAACCATTACAAGCACAGAAGGATCTCCAAAATAAAGCAAGACTCTGAACACTTGAGTCAAGTACAATTGCACTATTAATTTGCGACTGGTTGGATTGCAGCCTTACCTTGGTTGGATGGTCTGTTTCTTACTTGAGAAAACATCACTACCCAGGTCCCTCGATTTCTACATCGACTTCAAGTCTCAGATCCTTATTAGCAAATATTAGGTGTTTACTAAAAACTGATTGAATGAATGAATATGTGGGCACAGAGCTTTTGGGAATATATGAAAACATGGGCATAGATCTAAGTGATGATTTTGAAGTAAGTTCATAAATTCCTTGGTATGTCCATCTCTTTAAGAGATGAAGTTTTGGTGAGAGCTGGCTCCATGACCTGCTCCTAACCCATCAACACTGTGGCTGAATCATCAAAGATCAATCAATCTCCCCTGCCCTGAGAAACCATCTGCAGAACAGAATCTCTGCCTCAATGAAGTCTTCAGTTGGCTTCAGACATTAACATCCGTCTACACTTACATGGAGACCCCCCCCAAGCCAGAATGACCCAACAGGACCACTCCCAAATTCCTGACCCAGGAATTTGGGGGAGGGAAAAAAGGAAATATAAGACAAATCAAATGCTTGTGATCTTAAGTCACTGTGTTCAGGCTGCCTCATCACACAGCAATTAAGACAGTAAAAAATGTCCTTCTTTTCGGAGACAAGTTAGTTCACATGTCCCTTGAGGACAAAGGTTCTGTCTTGCTCACCTGCCCTGGTGTGTTCATCTCCAGCACCTGGAATCCTGTGTCAATCAACACTGGGAACAACTAGCTTAATGTCAGAGTTGCTAACCAGTGTGGACATCTGTACCTACTTATTTCTCACACGAAGAAAGTCCAGCTCATTAGAGAGCATAGCCATCCTGACCAGAACTATTAGACATGAGGGGATTCCTACTAAAACTCCCACAACCCTCCCTTTTCCTAGGTAACTAGGACTTAGAGTCCCTAGTAGGCAGACAGATGGGGGAGGGTAAAGAAGAAGCTGGCCACCTTTGTTACCTAGCCCTGTCCCAGCTCCCTATTGGCCCGCCCACCAGGCGATCTGCCTCAGTCCTGGTCTCTAGGAGCTACAGCTAAGGGAGCTCAAGACCTTGACCTATGCAAGGTCAGGACAGCGGACAAAGGCACAGCTAGCGCAGGCCCTGCTTCTCCAGGCACTAGGAATTACAAAGCAGCGTGGAATGCAAATCCTACTGGGGTCCCTTGGAAGTCGTCCCTGCCTCAAGATCCTCAACCCAGCTCAGTTTCACAAAGGCTGGCCCTCGGTACCTTTCTGACCTACACTTCTGGAACATAAAGACTTCCATCGTGTCTCGAGTCTTCGCGTCCGAGAAATGAGCGCCAGGCCCAGGCTTTTCCACACTCACATTTACACAGCCTCTCTCCAGTCCTTGTCAGACCAGATTATCCGCTTCAGGACAGGCTGCATACACATCCTCGTGTAAGAGACAGAGAAGTGGGCAGCGAGCCGCTGTGACCTCCTTTCTCAGTGACTAACTCACGAGCCACATTTGCTCCGGGTGCAGCGGGGTGAGAGAGGGCTGCCTGCAGACAGCTGCGAAGCCCACACCCCTTCCGGCAGACAGTGTGCGCCTGCGGCACAGCATGCCGGGAAAGCGAGATCTAGCTGGGACTGTCAGTTACTTACCACGTCTCCCGAGAGAAGGACACTTTTTAAAAATGTGTTCGATCACCCAAGGATACCAAAAATTAACTTTAAAAAAATCTCATATCCCAGAAATCTTCTATCTTCTACCCATGTCTTCCTTTCCCTGGGTGTCCCACTCACAACAAGCCTCAAGTCCACATGCGCTTAATGAGCCTCAGCTGCGCTGGGTGCCCTGCCGGCTTCTCTCTGCTTTTAATTTGTGTCCTTTAACTTAACCCAACAGAAAGATGGGCTAGGATGTAGTTCTGTGATACAGTGTGGGGCTAGCATGTACAGACCCTGGGTTCAGAGAACAAGGGGGTGAGGGAGACAGAGACGACAGAGAGACAGACAGACAGAGAGTACGAAACTCAGAGAATTTGACTTCAAGCCAGGCACACCTTTATTCCCAGCACTCGGGAGGCAGAGGCAGGTGAATCTCTGTGAGTTCAGGGCCAACCTGGTCTACAGAACAAGTTTCAGGATGGAACAGAAAGCTACAGAGAAACCCTGCCTTGACAAACAAAAAACAATACAACAAAAAAAAAAACAAAGAAAACCTGTTTCAAAACCAGCCGTCACCATCCCCAAAGCCAGGTCCTTCCAACTCCCTAATGAGAGGCAACTTTTCAATATCTAAACAGTCCTTGTGTTCCCACCAAGATCCTGAATCTTGATTTTGTTTGTTTGTTTTATTGTTTTTGTTTTTGTTTTTTTTTTTTGCTTTTTTTTAAATACTCTTGCTTTCTTGTGTATCAACACAAGTACTAAGATTTTGGATGGGTTTTATGGCTGACTGAATTCATTGACAAATATTTCCCTACTCTCTACACAGCATCTAAAACTTCTAGTTGAAGTCTTTGCTCAGCATGAGACAATCTGATTTATCACATAACCCATAAGAGCTGCAGCCTGAGCAGCTGACATCTTACCAAGTCATATTTTCTAAAATATTGAAAATAGTTCCAGGTTCCCCATAACTCAAGTTTTCCCTTCAGAGGTGTTTGAGGGAGCTGTCTAACACAAGCGATGCAGTGTTTAAGAGGAAGAGCCTGCTTCAGGATGGAAAAAGAGACCAGTGTTAACCCCTCTGTCTCGTCCAGTCTCTCCCATCCCTTTCCACCTTAACCCAACAGGGAGGGCAATGAAAGGGGGGGGGGGGGAATGCCAACCATCAGTTTGCTGCTGGACAATGCTGCCATCTGCTGGCAGAAACTGGAATTTCACTACACTATTAGGCTAGCCTTTCAGTTGCTCAACCACAACGATAAAATGTTAAATACCCATACGTTTTCTTTCAATTGCCTCCAACACAGTCCTAGTGTTAGCAGACTTGGGGGTTATAACCTGTGGCCCAAGTCAAGTCTGGGAACCGTCTTCAATAAGTCAATTAAAAGAGTCAAACTCGAAACAGAAATCGGAAAAAGGAGATTACTCAATATGGCTACATTAGGAAGGAGAGGAATCTAGCAGAGACCGCGAGTCTGTCCTCTGGGTCCAGAAGTGAGGGTTTATCTGGCTTACCGGTCACAGTCATCATTGGAAAAGTTCAGGCAAGAGCCTGAACGCAAAAACTGAAGCCCACAGAGGAGCCCCGGGTCCCCGCCCTGTACCCCCCCCCCCACTCCCTTCACCCCTCCACCCCCTCCACCCCCAACCTCCCCCACCCCCCGCTTGTTTGCTTAGTTTTCTTATACAACCCAGAACTGATGTGTGAGTCCCCTCTGTGTACTGTGAATACCATTAATGAATAAAGAAACTGCCTTGGCCTGTTGATAGGGCAGAACTTAGGTAGGAGGGGAAGATGGAACTGAATGCTGGGAGGAAGAAGGCAGAGTCGGAGAGGCACTATGGGGCGGGGCCACCAGAGTCAGAATTGCTGAAATTTTCCCGGTAAACCACTACCACCTGGTGATACACAGATTAATGGAGATGAGTTAAATTAAGATGTAAGAGTTAGCAATAAGAAGTTAGAGCTAATGGGCCAAGCAGTCATTTAAATAACACAGTTTCTGGGTGGTTATTTTGGGGTTAAGTGGCTGGGAACAAACGAGCGGCCTTCCTGTTACACGGGACCACCTGCTTAGAAGTGACCCTGTCCGCAGTGAGCGAGGCCCTCATACCTCAACTAACAATCAAGAAAATACTCCACACACGTGCCTGCAGGCAAATCTGACGGAGGCAGGCCGTCAGCTGAGGCTTTCTCTTCCCGGGTGTGTCAAGTTGGCAAGCACCAAGCACGACTGACCAGCACATTGTTTGCCAAGTGCTTACTTTTTGAAATCCACTGTACAGGGCCTGAACAAGAGAGCAGCTTCAATGGCTTACTTAGTGTCTGCTCGCTTCCAGTCCATTCACAGCCGGCAGTCATCGCCAGTGGCTTCTAATGCTCCCTGGATGAAATGTGAACAGCTTTCTCTGGGCCACGAGGAATCTAAAACTGGCCACCCAATTTCCAGCAGGAACTCACGCTACAAGAGTGGGAGGTCCGAAATCCAAAATGGTCTGGCGAGCACCGCGGGGAGGGAGGGGGAGAGAGAGAGAGAGAGAGAGAAAGAGAGAGAGCATCTGTATCCCCAGGTTTTTCTACCTGGGCTCTAGGTGGCCACACCCTAACTAAATGTGATTGGTCGAAACTATCAGCTGATAGTTTCCCCATCAGGTCTGACTTTACCCATGTACATCCAGAGCTGCTTCCTAAGTGCCTGTAGGTGAGACACTCCCTGACATATCCTGACTGCTGGGAGCCCATGTGTTTTGAATTAGGAATGCTCCCCGCCTCCATGGGTTCATATATTTGAATGCTTGGTCATTAGAGGATAGCATTACTTGAAAGGAATTAGAGGTGTGGCCTTAGAAGCAAGTGTGGGCTTGTGGGAGGAAGTGTGTCACTGGGGGTGGGCTTTAAGGTTCCAGAAGTTCAAGTCAGACCCAGTTCCTCTCTCTTCCGGCTGCCTCCAGATCTGGATGTAGAACTCTCAGCTATCATGTCTGCCTGCTTACTGCCATGCTCCCTGCCGTGGGGATAATGAACTAAGCCTCTGAAACTAGAAGCAAGCCCCAATTAAATGCCTTGCTTTATATGAGTTCCCATGGTCACGGTGTCTCTTCACAGCAATAGGACAGTGACTGAGACAGAGATGACATCCACACCAAATCCACATATGCAGCATCTTCAGAGACTAGTTTCCTCCCAAGGCTCCTAAAGTCAGTGACGCTCACTTGGTACGTAAGCCACATCACCTTGAGCCTCAGAATTTAACATTTGGAAATGCGATTTCTGTAGACATATTTCATTAGGTAGTCATCCTGGATTGGAGGGAGACCTAAATTCCAAGGACCAGTGTCCTTAGGAGACGGAGGACAGACATAGAAGTAAAGCCACTCAAGGAAGGAGGGTGTGTCAAGATAGAGGCAGAAAATAGAATGTTGTAGCCACAAGCCAAGGAATGTGAGGGACAGCCAGCAGTCACCAGAAATGAGGAAGACCCAGTGTCCGTTCTCACTGTAGCCATGAGAGGGACAGGATGATATCTTGACTTCTGATATCCAGAGTTACACAGGAATAGATTTTTTTCCCTTTTAAGTTACTTAGTTTGCAGTAATCTGGTGGAATTGCAAAGTGGTATCATCAGCCTGGAAATCAGTGTGGCGTTCCATCCAGCTACCTTCAGATTCATGAGCAAGCATCCACGGAGGAGGATGCTGAGTCCTTTGCTTGGCTGTGTTCACTGCTGTTCTACCCACAGTAAGAAATAGAAACAACCTGAATATCCTTCAATTGATGAGGAAAATTGGTGTAGGTACGCTGTGGAATGCTGTTGCGCTGTAAAGAAAAATGACCTCACGAAATTTGAAGATAAATGGCTAGAACTAGAGAAAAGCACATTGAGATGACCCAGACCCAGAAAGACACAAATGTGTTCTCTCATTTGAGCCTCCTTGCTCCAAATCTTCAGATGTTAGTACAAATCTTGGAGCAACTACAGAAACCAAGAAAGAAAAAGGAGGCCTTTGTAAGAGTAGAATAGTAGGGGGCGATAGAGGGGAACAACAGGATAGAAGGGATAGTGGAGTAGAGAAAATGGGGGGGAATCTAACTAGAAAGGGGATGGGAGATCAATACAGAAGGAAAAGGGAGGATAAAATGAGTAAGAATGCCTGGAAAAAGTCATATTTAATTATATGATTGACCGTCTACTTAAAAACATTCCACGAGTTTATTTCTGACACATTTCAAAGTCACTGACACCAGCACCTTTCACCAAAAACAATTCACAATGCACACAATTAATTAAAAGTAGCATTTATTTCATTTTTTAACACAGAAAAATGTTTAAATCTTTAGGCTGCTATTTGAAGAGTTTTCACAGGTACCAGCAAACTTATTTGTGGACGTGGCAATGCTAAGGAATGGCTATCACACGCATGAACTCACAGGAGCAATGACTCCCTGCACAAGACCAAGAGAGCCCAAGGCCACCGACATTCTCCCATGGCCTAAAAGGCACTGTAGGCAATTAAAGCTGCTGGGGAAAGCAGAGTCAAGCCTCAGCAGTGTAGCCTCTGGAAGGTTACCCTTACTCGGGTTAATAATCCCACACTCAAGCAAATAACCCTAATTAAATGCATCAGAGAGTTTTTAAAAAGTTGAATGAGAAGTTACTAGAAAGGAGATGGATAAAAAAAAAGGACGATGTGGAGAGGAGAATATGATCAAGATATATTATTTTGACAATTATGAATGACTAATGATACCAAAAGGAGAAAAACCCTTAGCATTCTTTTTCTCATCACCTAGAACATGAACAAAAATCATCACTCCCATGGATGCCGTGGTACCATATCTCAAATGCATCCAGGACTCAGCACAGACTGGGCTGGGGCCAGGCTTTGAGGGAGATTTAGGCTTCTACAAGTTGCTGCAGAAATGACAGGCTCCCATAAAGGGCAGACAGGGGCAACTTGGCTTCCAGATCCCAAGTTGACCTGGGATTATTCAGCTCCATCTCCAGACCACACTCCTTCAGCAATTCATAAGTAATGACCAAGCCTTCACCCTGGAGTGGGGCAAGAAGCTGAGGCTGGAGAGTGAAGGGGATGTTCCAGGGATACTTGAAGTTTGGCTGCAGGATGCTCTTTACCTAGAAGAAGAACTCTCAGGTTGGAAAGATCAGGCTCTGACACCAGGATGAAAAACCTGACAGCCAAGAGCCACACAGGATAATGAACTAAGAAATAACTGAAGCCAGCCTGCATTGGTTCCTCAGCTGACAGCCAAGAGCCACACAGGATAATGAACTAAGAAATAACTGAAGCCAGCATGCATTGGTTCCTCAGCTATATCACGGTAATAATAAAACCTATGCTGCACAGGGGTGGCATTTCTCTCTCTCTCTCTCTCTCTCTCTCTCTCTCTCTCTCTCTCTCTGTGTGTGTGTGTGTGTGTGTGTGTGTGTGTGCGCGCGCACATGCATGTATGCACATGGCTAGCACACATTTATATTTATAGATAAACATGTGGGGAGAAAAAAGACAACTTACAAATGGCAACTGTAAATAAAGAAGGCTGTAACTGACTTTCATCCCCTGAGTTCCTACAGAGCTGCCTTCCTGGGTGGCTAATTTAGACTCAGTGGGCCTTGCTTCTGAGGCTGCCATAAAAACAGACATGTTCCTGACAGGATCAAGCCCCACCTGCCTACTTCCCAGAGGGAGAAGGCAACTAGGAGGTTCCCGACTATTCTCCTTGTAGAAAATGCACGGCTTTCTTCTAAAATATTCTTTCCATTCCTCCTTTCCTGGCCCCTCCCTGAATGTTGACTCATGGGGGTTTCTTACCAGCTCTCGTTGATGGAGGAGGAGCCTCTTCTCCATAGACTGGGCCAGCAGCTTGAGTTGGGTATCACTCAGCACTGGGGAAAGGACACAAAAAGAAACAGAGTGACAGACTCAACTTTTTCCTCTCACCATGAACGAGGACAGCCAATGAGAGAAGAACGCTAGGACAGAGCGTTATGCCCCATTGGACTTGAAGGTCAAGCTCACTGCCCTAGAAAATTCTCCTGCCCTTGAGATGGGCAGAGAATCTGAAGTGACATCACCAGAGCCTGGAAATCTAAAGGCTGAGGAAGGAATCATCTTCCGCCAAGGATGTGCCAGGAGCTTGGTGACTGCTCACTTTCTACACCTCAGTCTCCATCTGCGGTCCATGGACTGTTATCATTCTGGCCTTGCTGGCCTTAGAGAGGAGGGTGATGTGAGAATGACTGTGATATCTCAAGAGCTTTTGGGAGGTGGCATCTGGAACAGCCCTGTAAGAACCAACATGAGGACTCTCCCACACTTCCCTCAAATCATTCTTACCCATTAGGGCTTGAAGAAGATAAAGAATGAGGTTCCTGAAGTCAATCCATGAGGGTATGGAGTCCTGTCGCAGCTGATCTAGAATCACATCACCTGGGCCATCCATATGCCCCAACTGATCCAGTTCCAGCTAGAGGAGACAGGTGTTCTGTTAATAACAGCATTCCCAGTGCTGGGGACTGGATGGCTTTATATATACTGAATGAGTCCTCTACCGTGAAGCTACAGCCTGACTCATTTTCCCCTTCTTTTTTCTCTTTTGTGTGACAGAGTCTCAGGCTGTTGTCCAAGCCATCTTTGAACTAGCCACGTAGCCCAGAAAGGTCTTGAACTAGCAAACTTCCTGCAAGTAGCTTCGATTTTTCATATCTGAATCAAACCATTGTGTAATGTACCGATGTCCAGAGGAGTTAAGCAAGGTGTGAGCTATAGGTCTACATTGCCCTAGGTGACGTGAGCAGAATTCAGAGTCAACACTCTAAGCCCTATCATTGTGCATGGAGCCAGAATTCCCTGTCTTGGACATCTTTCTCCGTCTTCTGCTATCCATCCCTCCTCTCTCCTGTATCTTAACATCCAGATCACATAACTAGATATTATCGGTTAGATCATCTCTAGGTGGCTATGGAACTCTTACCATGATCATCAGGTCATACAGAATCTGCCTCTTACTGAGCATGAGCAGCAGGCTAGAGAACACATCTTCTTGAACATCCTTTGGAAGCATGGCCAGTTTCTCTGTTTTCTGGGAAACCTCATTTTGTAGGCGCTTGAAATCTGCTTAAACAGCAACACCAATCAGAAAGTGACAGCAATTATTCAATTAAAGATCCCTAGAGTGGTAAGCCCCTCCACTTCAGTACCCTTTCAGTACCCAAGCATCTCCATTGATGGCTGCTTGAGCCCCAGGAGGCAACTATCATGAAGCTAGAAAGCACTAGAAAGTCAGCAGCTTCGGCACTCTGTAGGAAGGGGACACTGCACTGGGAGTGAAGGAGGAAATCCTGACAACTGCTTATCACAGTGGGAGAAAAGTGACCATGTGTGCATTTCTGGGAGATGTCAGGAAGGAAATGTACTGTACAGCCCAGAGATGGCAGTCCTCGGTGTTTTAATATCAGGTTGCAACGTGACAAATGAGGACATGGTGAGGAGTCAAGGAGTTTGTGTTCATCAGGCACCTGGCACACGGAAGCTACACTAATTAATAAGTATCCCCACCATCTATGAAGAATTAGCCCAGCACTGCATTTCAGGATGCTCTGGTTCTCCCAAGTGTCCTCCGGGTGATCTGTGACTGAGAGGATGCTGTAGCGGAAGCTGCAAAGACACAGGCGCTTTCATCCCAGTATCTCACATTGCATGCTGGAGGAATGCTGCTTCCTTCTAAGTCCTCGCTGTACACTAGTGCACACAGTTGTCACAGTTGTGCATGTGTGAGTCGAACTAACTACAAATGTGAAAGTAGACCTCGGTTTTCTAAATCCCAAAGAAAGTTCTCATTTGAGTTCCAAGCCTGTGTTTACCTGTCAGACACCCAGGTATCCTCTAAAAGCAGAAAAGAAAAGAAGGAGGAAGGAAGGAAGGAAGGAAGGAAGGAAGGAAGGAAGGAAGGAAGGAAGGAAGGAAGAAAGAAAGAAAAGAAGAAAGAAAGAAAGAAAGAAAGAAAGAAAGAAAGAAAGAAAGAAAGGAGAGAAGGAAGGAAGAAAACCACTTACCTTGATGGTAAGGTTCTTCTATCTTTCCTAGAGAGAGAAGACAAGCTATCACCTCTCTTCATCCTTACTTTGCCTTGACACACACTGTGTCTCTCTCTTGCCAGTTCTTCCTGCCCCATTCCCAGTCTATTCTTTCTCCACACCGGCCTTCCATGATCTTTCCCATCCCACAGGAACCAAAGCCTGGGCTAGAGGTGACCACAGGAGCATCACCCGGATCTCCACAACAACCCCACCAGACACACACTCACCAATTGGAGAGATGTAATTGATATCCCAGTCTAAAAAGAGAAAATATATTGCCCCATCCAAGAATTAGTATTTTACCTTACTCCCCCGTATCCCAAAATTTCTCTATCCTTTACTCCCATCCTTTGTGCAAAAACCAGATCTCAGGACCTCTGGCAAAGCCAATCAGGCGGGTTTCTGTTATTCAGTTGTCATAATAAGGGAGCAGATTCCACTCTCATTCCCCAAGTACCGTCCACTCACCTAGATGACTTCCAGGATATGACTCTGCAAAGAGAAAGTGAAGGGTTTACTCACCAAGACTCATTCTCTCCACCCCTCCCCCTACCTCGGATCTTCTCAAGTCCTCTATCCACCCTTGCTTTTCACCTTGCAAATCTACTTTCATGAGAATTTTGTATGATAAATTCATCCCCAGGAGATCCTGTCCAAAAAAAGACATACCTATCAGAATCCTTGAAGAATAGAGTACGTCACTCTTGTCTGAGGTTCTGAAACTTCTTAGCCAGTTTGTCATTTTACCTGCTAAACCTTTCTTCTTAGGACCATCATACAAACGAATGGCTGAATGGAAAAGAGACACAATTAGGAGAGATGCCGTTACACCTGCTAGAGTAATCCCCCACACCCATTTAGGGACCCTCAGGCCAAACCCCAGGGATGCTGTCACTCTAAACACTAGCCTCTTGATCTGTGAATCAGATCCTTTGACAGTTGCCCTGAGACTTGCATTTTATTTTATTGAATTGCGTTTGTTTATTTATCTGTTTATTTAAGGGGTGCACGCATGCCACAGAGCACGTGCAGAGGTCAGAGGACAACTCTAGGAGTCAGTTATCTCCTTCCGACACCTGGGACCTGGAGGTGGAACTCAAGACGTCAGGCCTGGCAACAAGCACCTTTGCCAGCCGATCCAGCTCACCAGCCTGAACTGCATTTCAAATAAGCATCGTGCCCTCTGACATTCAAGAATTATCCCTGAGGGCTGGAGAACAAGCTCAATTGTTAAGAACCCACTGCTGCTCTTGCAAAGACTTAACCACATGGCAGGGCCCTCTTCTGGCCTTGTTGGGGAATTGCATGCACATTGTAGACTTAAATGCAGGCAAAACACAAATACTCATAAAATAGAAATAAACAATTAGAACACTTCATAAGGTAAAGCAGACTGGCTTCCTCCTGCCCTGTCATGTAGGCTTCTTGTTAGCCTTCAGTTACTAGCTGGCCGGTCCTTATCCACTCTTAGTCTGGCAATCTTGCATTGTTCTGCATTATATTCATAGAGATGTTCTGAGGTCTGAAACTTGCCTAAAAACAAAGTCAAACACCTGACACATAAAATGAGCCTGGGGAAGAAAGTGCCAACATTTCACAAGTGAGCTAAAGGAAGTTAAACAAAAAGCAGACTTCGAAGAGTGACTGCTAATCAGATTCTGAGCACTAGGGGGCGAGCAGGGCATCTTGTTTACACAATCAAGTAAAGCAGGGAAGGGACCAACGGGGACCATGTGCTGATTGGCTAGCGCAAATTTAGTCCTCATAACGGACCAAAAAGACTTAATAATTGACATATCACTGTCCACCAGTTTCAGAGAAAACTGTCCTCCTTGTGTGTAACTGGGAATGAGACTTTCACCTCCAAGGTGACTTGGAGACGGGGTAAGTGACCAACAATGCATCCGGTCCCATCCTGTCTTCACTCCCTCAGTTCACCAAGCTCTGTCCTGACCTGACAACATTCTCTGCACCTTCAGAAGCCCTCACCCCAGAGTCCCCTCTCATCATCCCCTCCTCTCACACATGCCCCCTTTAGCCAGCTCCCCTAAGTGCCCTCCATATAGAACATCACGTCTCTCCTTCCATACCCTCTTAACCTTTACAATTTATCTTCCAGAGAATATGCCCAGATTCAGCCTCCATAAACTTGGCTTTGGTTCTCTGGGTGAAACACCTGATCTAATCAGATCCGGTTTTTGTTTGTTTTCTGTTAATATTTTTAGTAACAGGTTCATTCTCTTTCCTTCTGTAAATGAAAGCTCTGTTCACTTAACATGATCTGTGACAGAAAGGACATCTCCCCCAGGCATTTCAAAGGCATCTCTGACCTTGTACCCACTCCCCGCCCTATAACTCAATCAAGGTTGTTAATAGAGTGTGAATAATCTTTCTTCAGAGTCATCATTCTCTAACTGTACCATACTGTACCCACTCCCCACCCTAGGAGTGGGTGTGAATGATCTTTTTCTAGAAGCCATAATCCACTAATGAAACTGTTGTGTAATTATTGTCTATTGCTGCCAATTAGAGGATTGACTTTCTCCTGACCAGAGTTTGCAAGAAGATATTTCAGGAGTGTGTGTGTGTGTGTGTGTGTGTGTGTGTGTGTGTGTATTGGGGAACTGTACATTTCAAGGGAAAGTCACGGGAAAACTCCTGAGCTATGCTGTCCGCGCACTCTGCCTACGCCTTCATTTGTGCTATGCTGTTATTACTTTATGGAGCATTTGTAGGGTCTAAGGATCACCTGGTGGGCCTCTGGCTCCCTGATGAGGTTCTGAGAACAGAAGAGCCTTGACTGGCTAGAGACAGATGACTAGAGGTACCTGGGATTGGACCTGGGCTTCATCAGCTAGAGACATCTCCATTTGAGCACCCCAAGTTAGATCCTTTCCCATGTGGGAGGCCAACTCTGCATTTTCAGCTAGCAGTACCTGAGCTTAGCCATACATAGAGGTGGCTAAGAAAGATGGGACATGGGTCTGGGACAGGACAGAAGAGGAAGTTCAGGTCTTTAGACATGCTACACCCACTTGACCCCCACGCCTGCTCACCACAAGTGTCATTCTCAATGATCAGTCGACTCTTCTTGTAGGCCACCACTGTACCCTTTTCGATAAGAAATGATGTCTTTATCACCTTTTCATACTCTTCCTCCATTTTAGCCTGGGAGACAAAACAATCCTAGAGATTTAAAGCACTTTTTCTCATATAAATTATGTTTACTTTTGATCAAGGCAACATATTCTTGTAATTGATAAGTCAAATAAGTCTAGAAAGCTTGTGAGAAAACACCAGCAGTCCCTCACTTCCCCTTCCTCTCGGTCCCCAGGTTCAGTTTCTGCTTCTCCCCCTGTATGACAATATTTACCTACATTGAATTTCAGGAGGTGTGCCTGGAGAGGCCTGGTGATTGAACCCAGAGCACCATGAATGCCAGGCCAGTATTTACCACTGAGCCACACAACCAGCCCTATTACAATGTCTTGATTTTTCCAAACTAGGGATATGATTTGCTGTCTCCCTCTGAGTTGAGGGTCTCATTCTCCTAATTGACCCTCAGTGCTGACTGCTCCCCTGTATTCACATCTGGGTTTCTGGGTAGGTGCGCACTCTCTGTCAGCTGCTGGGTGAGACTGCTTCTCCTCATTCCAGACCATGTGTGATGTCTGCTGTCTTTTCTGTCCTGTTACTGATTATCTTCATGGACCTGAGAGAAACATGCCTGAAAACTTCATACCTAAAGTCATCTTTACTTTGCATTTAGTTCACAACTAGAGGAGATAGAATTTGAAGCTGGAATGCCTTGAAATTTAAATTGTTTTCCTTTTTATGTACAATCTCCTTTTCTTAAATATGGTTCAATGTTTGAGAATTTCATATATACATACAATGTATTTTGATCGAACTCACACCTCATTAAGTCATTTCCAACTCCTCCCTTATCCTATCCCCATTACTTTCCCCTCCCAACTTCTTGTGAGTTTTTGTTGTTGTTGTTTTTCAATTTTTACTAAACCCAATGAGTTCCTCTAGTGCTGCCAGACCAGCATTGAGTGCAGGACCGTCTGCTGGAGCCAAACGGACTCTCAGAATTGAGAGAGAACGTGCAGCACTTGCCATTCTGGTTTGGGTTGTCTCATTCAGGATTGGTATTTCCAGCTACAACCATTTTCCTTAAAGTACCATAATTTCACATAAATAAATAAATAAATAAATAAATAAATAAATTCACATGAATAAAATTTCATTATGTATAAGTGCCATATGCTTATCATCCATTCATAAATTGTTGGACATCTAAGCTGTTCCCATTTCCTGGTTATTATGAATAGACTGCAGTGAACATGGATGAACCAATGTCTCTGTGATGTGTGATACAGAGTCTTTTGGGAATAAATGTCCAGCACTAGTATAATTGAAGCATATGGCAAATCTACTTCTACTATTTTGTGTGTCATCTACGCTTTTATTTCTATGCTTTCTTTTTTTTTAATCTGGATAATCTGCCTATCGGTGAAACTGAGATACTGAAGTCACCTACCACTGGGGTTAATCTGTCGCTTTACATAGAGGAAAATTTGCTTTATGAAACTGTGTGAACTCGTGTTTTGGTGCAAATATGTTTAGATTTATAATGTCTTCTTGATAGATTGATCTCTTGATTAAAATGAGTGACATTCTTTCTTCTGACTATTTTTGAATTGAATTCTATTTCTTTGGATTTTACTTTAACTTTTTCTGTGAGTCTACTTACCCTTGCCCTGAATGTCTTTGCCCAACCTTCACCCTAAGATAGTTCCAATCTTTGGTGTTGAGGTTGTTCCTTGGAGACAGTAAAACAGATCCTGCTTCTTAATCCTGGTTGCTCCTCAATGTCTTTCATTAAGAAGTTGAAACCATTAATGTTCAAAGTTTATTGGTTCCTATCATTTTGTTTATTTTTATGGTGTTTCTCTTTAATCACTTTTATTTAATATGGTGTTCATATTTTATTTAATAACCTAACATCGCTCAGTTTTGCTGTCACTGCTTGAATATTCTTATCCCTTTCTTTAAGCAGAAATATTCTTTTTAGTTTCCTCTTCGTACTGGCCTGGTGATCATAAATTCCTTTCATGTGCTTTGTTGTGAAAAGGTTTTATCTCTCCTTTGGCTATGATTGACATTTGTGTTGGGAATAGTCATTCAGGCTGACATCTGTATTCATTTATGACTTGCAGTATATTAATTTAAATTCTCTTTGATTTTAAAGTTATCATTGTGAAATTTGCTGTTATTTTGACGAGACTGCTTTTGTATGTGATTTTTCTTTCTCTCTCTCGCTTTTCAATATCATTTCTTTGTTTGTTTAGTGTTTCAACTTTTATATGGTGTAGGGAGTTTATTTTCTGACTCAGTAGTTAGTGCCCTACCTGCCCCTTGCATCTCGATTGGCAGCTCTTTCTTATTTTTGGAACATTTCTTTCATGATTTTGTCAAAAATAGCTTCTGTGCCTTTGCCCTTGTTCTCTTCTTCTTCTTTTACACCTATGATTTATAGATTTGGTCTTTTTATATTGTCCCAGAATGGAACTATGAATGGATTTCTGCAAGAGCTATATGAACAACCTGGTAGATATATTTTTGTGGGAATAGTTATTATTAGTTTTGTTCTTCATATTATATTATATTCTTAAAGAAATGATTTGATAACAGAGTCAAGAATGACAAACTTTTAGAAATGATACAGTCTTTACAGACTGGTAATGAGAAGATAGCTTAGAGAATTCATACCATTAAAAAATTATAACTTTAATTTGATAGGAAAAATTCAATCCACGTCAATGTGTTTGAAACCTTACCAAATGGTACTGAAAGATTATGTTGAAATAGACAATCAAAATCTGTTAAAAAGTTATGATAAGCTAGAAGGTAGAATGGCCCTCCAGGAAGGCAATCTATATACCATTCAAAGAATCTCTAAGGAGGAGAAGATATCATTAATGGAAAAATTTAAAACCTTGCAATCACGTGTACAGAAAGAGAATCAGAAATAAATTGACTTAATGAACTCATTAGAAATATTCACAGGTAGGATGTGACTGCTCAGGGAGAAGACCCAAGCCAGAGACCCCTTCTGGACCAACCCAGGCCAGGGATCTTCACAAGAGCATGCCTGAGCCAGAGACCTCTACAGGACTGGGCATGGATAAGCAACTTCCCAGGGAGCCTGCCTGAGCTAGAAACCTCTACCAGAGAAGGCTTGAACCAGAGACATCTGACAGAGAGGCCCCAAGGTAGCAAACTCAGCAAGAGCAGTGCCAAGCAATCACCTCTGTGGGAGAAGACCCTAACGACCCCTGGGGATTGCAGAGTGACCCCAGTAGCACTGAGTAATCTCTAGGAGCATAGAGTGACCTCCAGAGTGACTGGAACCATGGCCCTGACTGTACCATAAGGAGCAACCATCTGAGCCTTGGATCCGCTGGCATTTGGATGATTGATCACCAGAGACACAGCCCCAATAACACCAATCACAGGAAAAGATGGGTAGACAAAGGAAGAACACACTTGACACCATAAAGAGCAACATGACAGCAATAAAAACTAGTGGCACTACAACAGCAACACGTGAACAACAAAATATAGATCAAGCAGAAGAAAATAACCTAAAAGTAACTTTAGGAGAATGTTTGAGGTGCTTAAAGAAGAAATGAAAAATTCCCTCAAATAAATACAGGAAAAGAACAACCAAAAAAAAGGAAGGAATCAACAAATGACTTAAAGAAAACCAAAAAAGTCAATCAAACAGATGAAAGAAACTATTCAAAACTTGAAAATCGAATTAGAGACATTAAAGAAAACACAAACGGTGAGAATTATAGAAATGGAAATTATGAGAAAATGATCAGGAACCACAAATGCAAGCATAAACAGCAGAATACAAGAAATGGAAGACAGAGGGGGCTGAAGAGATGGCTCAGTGGTTAAGAGCACTGCCTGCTCTTCCAAAGGTCCTGAGTTCAATTCCCAGCAACCACATGGTGGCTCACAGCCATCTGTAATGAGGTCTGGTGCCCTCTTCTGGCATGCAGGCATACACATAAACAGAATTATGTATACATAATAAATAAATATTTTTAAAAAAGAAAGAAAGAAATAGAAGACAGAATCTCAAGTGATGAAGATATAATAGAGGAAATAGACTCACCAGTCAAAGAAAACACTAAATCTAACAAAAGCTTAACACAAAATGTTCAGGAAATATGGGATACCATGAAAAGACCAAATCTAAAAATAATAGGGATAGAAGAAAGAGAAGAAGTCCATCTCAAAAGCAAAGAAAATATATTTGACAAAACCATAGAAGAAAACTTTCCCAATCTAAAGAAAGAAATACCTATGAAGATACAAAAAGCTTACAGAACACCAAACAGACTGGATCAAAAAAATACCATCGCCACATAATAATCAAAACACTACATACAGAATAAAAGAAAGAATATTAAGAACTACAAAGGAAAAAGGGACAAGTGATATATAAAGGCAGACCTATCAAAATTACACCTGACTTCTCAGTGGAAACAATGAAAGTCAGAAGGTCCTGGTCACGCCTTATGCAGACATTAAGAGACCACAAATGACAACCCAGACTACTGTATCCAGCAAAACTTTCAATTACCATAGACAGACAAAACAAGATTGTCCATGACAGAACCGTATTTAACCAAGCCACAAAGCCAGATATACACAAAGTACTAGAAGGAAAACTTCAACTGAAGGAAGTTGGCTACATCCACAAAAACATTGATAATAGATAATCTCAATGCAGCAAATCCCAAAGAAGTGAAAAACACACACAATAACCTCACCTACAGTGAAAACTAAAATAACAGGAACTAGCTATCACTGGTCATTAATATCCATTAATATAAATGGACTCAACTCACCAATTAAAAAGACATAGGCCAACAGATTGGATACGAAAACAGAATCCATCCTTCTGCTGCATACAAGAAACACACCTCAACCTCAATGACAGCCATTGCCTCAGAGTAAAGAATTGAGAAAAAGTTTTCCAATCAAATGGACCTAAGAAAAAAACTGTTATAGCTATCCTAATATCTAACAAAACAGAATTCAAACTAAAATCAATCAAAAGAGACAAACATTCCATATTAGTCACAGGAAAAATCCGTTCAAGAGGAAATCTCAAAACTGAACATCTATGCCACAAATACAAGGGCACCCTCGTATGTAAAAGAAACACTTCTAAAGTTTAAATCACACATTACACCTCACACGCTAATAGTGGAAGACTTCAGCACCCCAATCTCACCACTAGATTCATCTGTCAGACAGAAAATGAACAGAGAAATAAGGGAAGTAGCAGATGCTATGAGTCAAATGAACTTAACAGACATCTATAGAACATTCCATCCAAACATAAAAGAATATACCTTCTTCTCAGCACCTCATGGAACCTTCCCAAAAATTGACCACATAGTAGGTAACAAAGCAAACCTCAAAAGATACAAAAAAACTGAAGTAACTACATGTAGCTTATTGCACCACCATGGCTTAAAACTAGAATTCAACAGGAACACTAATTTCCACAGACACATGGAAACTGATCAGTGCTCACCTGAATCATCATCAATGGGTCATGGAAGAAATAAAGGAAGAAATTGAAGACTTCCTAAAAATCAATGAAAATGACCAGACAACATACCCAAATTTATGGGACATAGTGAAAGCAGTGTTAAGAGGGAAGTTCATAGCACTAAATGCCAATCTAAAGAAGCTGGAAAAAACTCACACTCTTGAGTTAACAGAACACCTGAGAACTCTAAAACAAAAAGAAGCAACCACACCCAGGAGAGCTAGACAGCAGGGAATTATCAAATTGAGAGCAGAAATCAACAAAATAGAAACAAAGAAAGCAACACAAAGAATCAATGAGACAAAGAGTTGGTTCTCAAAAAATCAACAAAATGGACAAACATTTATCCAAAACAACCAAAAGGCAAAGAGAGAATATCCAAATTAACAAAATCAGAAATGAAAGTGGGGACAGAACAACAGACATGGAGGAAATCCAGAGTATCATTAGGCCATATTTTGAAAAGCTGTACTCCATAAAATTGGAAAACCTAAAGGAAATGGACAACTTTCTGGATATATATGACTTACCAAAATTAAATCAAGACCAGAAGAGAAAATTAAATATTTAATTAAGTTTAAATTAAATTAAATTAATTTTAAAAACTTAAATGGTTCCAGGGAATTATAAATTAAATAAACTAAATTAAGAAGACTTAAATAGTTCCAGGGAATTTTCAACTGAAGCTGAGAAAGAACTGATTTTGACTGAAAATAAATTACAGAAGGCACATGTGGATCATGTGAATCCAAATCTTAACTGCATTCTGCTCGTATTACCATCCAAATATTCCCCTACAGGAATTTTATTGCAGAGGGATTATATTATCCTAGAATGGATCTTTGTACCACATAAACTGAGTAAAAAAAATAAAATCTTATGTGGAAACGATCTCTAAATTAAATACAATAGTAAAATTGAGACATCATCAATTAGCAGAAATAGACCTAGCAGAAATCATAGCACATTTTAGTAATGATGAAATTAACAAATTATGGGAAGACAGTGGATGCTGTCAAAGGACTTTTTCTAATTTGGGGGGAGAGATTAATAACTATCCTAAAAGCAATAGAATTAGACTTACAAAGAGAGCTCATTGGATCCTTCCTCACATTGTACAGGACACACCAAAAATAGAGGCTTGTACATTCTATACTGATGCAAATAAATGAGAAAGACCAGGTTACAAATAAGAAGATTTAAGTGAAGTGGAACAAAGCACTTAAGATCCCACCAAAAAGTTTGAATTAAATGCTGTTCTCATGGTACTAAGAGATTTTAAAGAACCTCTCAACATAGTTACTGATTCACAATATACAGAAAGAGCTGTATAGTACATTGAAACCACTGAATATATACCAAATGATACAGAATCGACTTCATTATTTATTCAGGTTGTCCTTAGAGTTTTCTTCCCATCTTCCCATCCCTATCCCATACCTTAGGGATGCTCAGTTTTCCTGACTGGCCGAAATGGCTTTTGCTTTCCAGCTTAATGTCTTCAGTCACTTCATAGATATCTGTCACCACATACAACTTCTTCTCTCCCATTTGGCAATTCTTCACAAATGATGGCTGCTTATCCAGAAGTTTCCTGAAGGTATGAAATGGGAATGAAAAGATCTCTAATTTCACAGAAACAGAGACCAAATCAGAAGAAGGAAAAAAAAAACAGAAAATGTGAGTTTCAGAACTAAAGAAATTGAGTCAGATCAGGCTGGGGATGTAGCTCAGTCTATAAAGTGCTGGCCATGAATGTGTGAGAACACAAGTTCAGAGCCCAGAGGTCACCTTAAAACCCAATGTGGTTATAGTTGACTCTATGCTACATGTGCTTGAAATCTGCAAAGAGAGTAGACAGTAAATGTTCTTGTCATAACAATAACAGCTACTGAGCTGGCAGGATGGCTCAGCAGGTAGAGGTGGTTGTTGACATGAGTCTGGTTCACAGACACACAAAGAAAAGGGAGAAACTGGACTCCTGAAAGTTGTGCTCTGACGTCCACATTCAAGCCATGGCACGAGGATGCACATGTGTGCTTAAATGCACACCTGCACGCGCACACACACACAAACACACACACAGAAAGAGAGAGAGAGGAGATGGGGGGGTGAATGTACAAATAAATGTAATAAAGAAAAATTTTAAATAGTGACTTCCAGATGGAAGAATAATATGTCACTGACTTATATTAATGAGCATATATCACACCAAAATGCTGTACATGAAACATGCATTTCTACTTCTAAATTGTTCCTCAAAAGAGATGTTGTAAAAGTCAACTAGGTCCCTAAGTTCTGGGGTGTTCAAGTGATTGTTACAGTCTTCCTCACATTTTAAACCACATTCCAAACTCTTACTTCTTGGATTCTTTCCTCATACATGTCCATTCTCTGTACCTTGAACAGAAACTTCTATGTGATCAGAACCTTTGTCTGTCTTGTGTTTCTATCTCCATCACATTAATAGAACAGTAATGGGTGATTCTGTATCAGTGAGTATTATTAGGGCACTACAAGCCATTATTTCAATGACTTGTAAAAAAATAAAGCAGAATAATGTGAGGTGTCATAAAACCTGTTCGATGCCTCTTTGCCTACAATACCACATCCCAAAACATAGTTGAACCATCCGTTCACCTGTTTTGAAGACTTTCCAGTTTTGGAGTTGGAACGCTAATACAGTTAACCTTGACGTCATATTCACAGTCCTTTTTATACGTTCCTGACAAACTTCCTTCGACAATGGCATTAGCATTGACATCCGCAGTAACCTTCAGTCTGTGGAAGACAGCGTGTTCGAAGGAGAAGCGACCTGACACTTCAGACTCTGAAGAGCAAAGGGGACAGAAGTTTAGCCAAGAATTCAACTTGGAACCGCTAATCTGGAGAATGGGAAATAGGAGGCCAATTCACCTCCTCATTTAAACTTAGTTAAGGGGAAAGCTAATAATTATATATTAATAAATAAAAATAATAAATATCTGAAATATAAACTTCTACAGAGGGCAAATTCCAGAACCAATGCAAGCATAGTCTGAATCCTAAAAAAGAAAAGCATCATTTGTGTAGTGTCTAGGAATCCCCTGGGATCATCTTTCCAAGTACAGAACCCAGCCCCAGGGCAGCTGTCTGGAAAAGTAAAAAGCTGGGAACTTGAGGACATACTGACTTCAGTCTAGATCCTAATTCTACAAATGTGAACTCTGTAACTTTGAACAAGTGGTTTTAGGAACCTCAATTGCTTTTTTTGTAACATGGGTATCATATCTCCATCTAAAGAGGCTCTTGGAAGTATTATACGACCAAATGCAAGGAAGGGATCAGAAACTGAGTGGATTGCTACCAAACCTTCCTTGTCCTTTGCTTTTAAGCAGGATGGCTCCTTAGCTACCTGTCTGGGCACCTCATGGATTCTGGGAAGTTGCACCACTGAAAAAGCTGATTTGCACCCTTCTCTACCCCTTGACTGACAATACCTGGGACTGGAAAATTTGGCTCTAAAATCTGCGGTAGGGAATATCCAACTGGAATATAATCAGATTTCAAAATCCATGAGTGATCAACCTTCTGCAGTATCGCAAACTGGCGGAATTTATTTGCTTCTCCAAAATGTGTGACAGGACGCAGCTTTGTTACGTTAAGCCATTTGGCCACATCATTGCTAAACGTGGCAAATAAGTCGGACATGTTCCTAGTATCAGACAGAAGAAAATGCATAGTTTAGTCGAGAAGAGGAAGAATGTAGTTGGCATAGGTTAATAGCATTGTCTGTCCTTCCAGAGGACACAGGTTCAAATCCTAGCATTTATATGTAGATTCACAAACATATGTAACTCCAGTTCCAGGGCATTATATGCCTTGCTCTGAGCTCCTCAGGCACCAAGCACACATGTAGAAATAGAATTGAAACCAGGTGTAATTCCAGCACGCGTGGGGCAGAGGCAAGCATATCTCTATGAGTTCTAGGCCTGCTAGAACTTGGTCAACAGAGCATGTTCCAAGACAGCCAGGTCTATGCAGGGAAACCCTGTCTTGAAAAACAACAAAACAGATTTGAAAACAACAAAATAGCACACTCATGTTCTTTGCAGCACTACTCACAAAATCAAAATGTGGAAACAACCTAAACGCCCATCAACAGGACAAGGAAATGGGACATCTCACTGTGAACTAGTAACGACCTTAAAGGAAAAGAATGTTCACAAAATGCAATAAAGTGATTAATCTTGAGAATGCTGAAGTATATGTCATTCAAGGGTGAACACCCATGGATCCTATTATATGAATTATCTCAAATCTCCAAGACCGACCCAGAGAGAACAAGGATGCTCTCTACCAGAGGAGAGAGAGGAAGGGACATTGTTAGTCAAGCAGCTTAATGTTTCATTTGCATAAGGAGGAGAATCTGCAGATCTGCTAGCAAGGTTTGTACCTATACACGGTTGTGTATTTTAAAACAGTTGAAGGCAGAAGTCGTGTCATATATTTTACCACAATATGTTAAATATTATAGAAGACAGTTTCTTTGCATACAGTCATAACTCTACCTAGATGGGCATTTCTAGGCTGATAATCAAAATCTGCAGATGTTCAAGTGTCTTTGCATGTGGCCACACACTCCTCCCATATCGCTTAAAATGATACTGTAACAGAAACAGTTTTAAGTTGCTGTGAAAAATGTCTGACATAAACAACTTGATGGAGGAGAGATTTATTTTGACACGGGGTTTCGGAAGGCTCAGTCCACAGATGCTTTAGCCCTGTACATTTTGACTAGACATCATGGTGACAGGAGAACATGGAGGAGTCAATGGGAGACTTCTTAGCCATCAACAAGCAGAGAGACATACAAGGAGGGGACATGTAGTCCCAAGTTTATGTAGGCAATGTCATATTTTCTTTAGCTACTGACCTCATCTTAAAGTTCCCCAGGACACCCGAAATACTGACAGTAACAGGAACCCACACATTCAGCATAACTGGAAGTAGGGGGAACACGTCACATTAAAAACATGGAAGCAGACAAACCACATAATAGTTGTTGTAGAATACCAGCACACACAAAAGAGTGTCTGGACATGCTCTATTCAGATGTAAGCCTTCTGTATATTGTCTTTTTAAAAATATATAGTTTTCATTTTTGTTTAATTTGTGTCTGTGTATGTGCCATATATGGGGAGCCATAGAGGCCAGAGAAGAGCAACAGATCCTCAAGAACTTAAGTCACTCATTGTGGATACTAAGAACTAAGCTGGGGTCCTTTGGAACACTATCAAATGCTTTTAACTGCTGAGCCATGTGTGTGTGTGTGTGTGTGTGTGTGTGTGTGTGTGTGTGTGTGT